TTATGTGAGGTGGTGGTGTGTGCGGCGGGGGGGCGCAGTGCGGTGGAGAGCAGAACACTACCTAAGAAACCGGCGCAACCGCCCCCGCGGGAAGCCCCACACCAGCCATCGTATGCCGGCCGCGGAAGCCTTCAACAATACACAGGCTTCTGACTCTTTACCTTAAACAGTGAAATACTTTCATACATACCAAAGCTAGAGATAAAAAATTAAACTGTCAGGCCTTGAAGCATAAAAAGCAAAGCATTTTGGCTTTGGGTGGTCTTTTTGCACCATTTACAATACAAATTTGCTATCCTTACTCCTATATTCATGTATATGTGTATTTATCAATGAAGGACAGCACTTTCTCAGTCTTTGTTGATTTGGATGCAGTTACTTTTCTTGATCATACCTGCATGTTTTTTCACTGCTTTAGCCCCTTTTAACACCCTACTCTCCACTTTCTCTGTGGAGTTAACACATCACATTCAGCCACAAAGTGGTTTGGGGGTGGAGGATTAGCTTAACCTGAACCCAGCTACTTTGATTTGTAACCATGGTTTATACAATGTGTGAACTTAGCCTTAACAAGTAAAGTTAAGCTTAGTGTGATGTTGCAACTACAGTAGATCAGTGCGGGTATGAAGTTGTTCCATAGACAACATTAGGACTGATACTGTTCACATGATAGCCAATGATAAAGCATGAATTTAACCATGTTCCTAAAGTAAATCTTAGATTCCATTGTTCTTCTACCATGCAAATTCCACTATATAGTGTCTCATATACACACCCAGAGTGTGACAAGTTATTTACATTTTGCAGAGGGGTAACTATGGTTGCAGATCCATGACCAGGTCAAGAAAAAGCCTGCTTTTCATGGGGAGGGCCACATCCAAAAGGAGCCTTCAAAGCCCCAGCCTTGACCCCAGGCCTTGGTCGCAATGTATCTTCCTTGGCATCCATATTTCTGATATAGCAATTTCATCAGAAACCACATTTCTGATACAGTGATTTCTCCAACGATGACTGGGAATGTAATCTAACATAGCTAGAGAGCAGCAGGTTGAGGAGCTAGGAATGATGCATTTGTTACAAAAGAGGAGGAGAGCCAACTTTTTAAAGGCATTTTTCTGCACTTGGTGTGAAAAATCTATTCAGGAATCAAAGAGAACACATTGGCAAGTGTGAAAAGCTGAGAGTCTACATCAGATGTGAGAATTTGCATATAAGAGGTATTTAAGTGTATGGAAAAGTTTGACCAGGTGCAGATTTCAGAAGGTTGACTGTGCATAAATCAGTAAATGTGCCTCTGTGCATCTGTGAGGAAGGGTCTTGGGTTTAGCTGTGTACATACATGAGCAATACACATCTGTACAGTACATGGATTATATGTACTTATATGAAAGAAAGAAGGAGTATTCTTTCTTTCTCTGGGTTCATGGATGTTTTCTAACATGCATTCACAGGTTTATGTGTCTGTGGCCTTATTTATTCCAATGCTATATAAATATGAACACCTATATGGCATTAAGTAAGGAAATAAGTATTAAGCAATGAATTATTTATTTACCTGGTTGCATGTACAACCTTATTTCCCCCCCCCCGAAAAAAACTTCCCAGAGTGACTTACTAAAAGTTAAAAACCATAATAATAAAACCAATTAGAAAGTAAACAAGAACAGTCACAGAGTATGACATAAAAGAGAATTAAGCACAGACAGGCATTATTTATAGGAAACATGTACGGTGTAATAAACGCCGTATATAAACCCTACCCGTTTGAGAACTTCGGCAATTAGGCAGATTGGAAAGATAGTAAATAAATCATACAGGGATGATGTGGAAATAAGTCTAAAGCAGTTTTAGAGGTCTTGTTTCCCTCTGCGGGCCGAGCGCTTTGGAAATCCACAGTTTGTCACTCTAACCGAAATCCCGACGATTTCAGGGCGTCTGGCTCTAATCACTGCTAAGTCACGACCGTCCCAAGACTAAGCGCCAGCCGGTGGCGGGCGTGTGTGCGTGTATGTGTGAGTGAGTTTGTGTTAAACAGCACTCAGTGTACAGACTGCCTGACCAACTGAAAGATTTCAGAGAAGAAACTCCCCGGAGAAAAGGAAAGGGGGGGGGGAGGAAGCGAGTGGCCGCGGGTACTTTCCAACTCCCGAATCCCGCACGCCCCGCGAGCGCGCCTTCCTTACCATTTCCACTGCACGGGGGTCCAGCTGGCTGGGCGGCGCAGGCACCGAAAACTGAATTTTCTTCCGCTCCTTGGGGTCCATCGCGGAGTCCGAGGTTCAGGCAGCCTCCTACTTCCCGCAGGAAAAGCTCACCGCTCTGGATTCCCTCCCTTTGCCTCTTTTCAGCCCCCCAGGATCGCCTTAGCAGCAGGCGCTGCCCGGTGCCAACTTCCCGCGCTGCGAAAGGCAACTGAAGGTGGCAGAACTCAACCCTCCTTCATGGCTGCGCTAGGGAAGGCTGGAGGTAGAGATGGGAGGGCAAGCGAAGAGGAGGCGGCAGGATGGGGGAGAGGAGGGGAGGGGATGGGAGCTTGGCCCCTTGCCAGCCGCCGCCTGAATTATTGAGTCCTCCCGAGGAGGCAGGTAGGCATCAGGGCTCTGGCTCCTAAGAAGCCCTCGGCTGGGCGCCCATTAAAACGACGCCACTCAAAAGACACAGCAGCTGCCCAGCTCAGGAGCAGCAGAGCACTGGGGGAGGGGAAAGTTCATCAAGCGACCATAGCTTTCTTGACTACTCTTCATCAAGCCTCCTACCTTTCTTTCTGTCCTGCCCTGCCCAGATCAGCCCACCACCCCGTTTTCTTTAGGTCCCAGCCCCAGGAAGTCATAGTTGTCTTGCAAGACATTTGAAATCATAAACAATCAAGAATTGTAGAGCGAGAAGGGATCAGATGAATCCCCTGGTCCAGTGCCTCCCAACCTTGGCAACTTCAAGATGTGTGGAGGTCAACTCCTAGAATGCTGGCTGGGGAATTCTGGGAGTTGAACTCCACGCATCTTAAAGTTGCTAAGGCTGGGACACAATGGACTAGTCCAACCCTCTGTAATGTGCAGGAAAACCAGTTAAACTATCTATGAGAGTGGCGGTCCAGCCTTTTCTTATAATTCTCCAGGGATAGACAGCCAACAACCTCCACTGGTAGACTGTTCTACTGTTGGACAGATTTTACAGTCAGGACATTTCCCCCTACATTTCAATGAAATTTAGGTAGCTGCAACCTAGACCCCTTATTTCTGATCCTGGTTTCTGCGCCCAGGAGTCTTGTGGCTTCTGTACGATGAGTAATGGCTGGCATCAGAATCCCTCTACTTGATTACCAGGCCCCTGATGTGCTGGACTCGGCTCCTGTGACTCCACACAAAAGTCTGCATGCAAATATCCTGAATCCTGTAGGAGGGAGCTCTGATCAGTGAAGTTAGAAAAAAACAGCAGTGGCCTTTCGCAGAACAGCTATTGAGTGACAATGCAGATGTGCTTGCATTGATGAACTGAAGTATGAATAATAATAATCACAATGGTTTAACATTGTCCCAACTGCAGAAGATAAACCTCTTCATGGGCTGAAGACCATCTCTTTCAAGGAATCAGTGGCTGAAGATCCTTTGTTTAGGATAAGACTAGTGGCTGATAGTCCTGGAAATATGTGTTTCTTCCTTGGGAAGTCTTTTTTTTTTTTCAGTATTGCCATTTCTGATACTTGGTTTGATTGTCTGTAGCAAATTTAGCTTGCTTTTCAACAGGAACCAGATGAATTAATATAGGAACCCAGAATATCTCTGAATATGTGTGGGATATCTGATCTCTACTGTCCTCTATGACCTTTTAAACATATTTGAAAACAGTGTCTCTCATTTTGAAAATTAAGCACCAGGCCACACAGGTACTGGTTATTATGGGCATCAGCAGCATTTCAGGGTGGTCAGTATGAGCAATTTCATAACTAACAGAGGTGCACATGGTACAGTTCTTGTATTCAAGTATTTCACCATGTCACGCTAAAGTTGGACAGGATGTGTTCATAGAGTAAACTTTTTAATTTATTTCATTGTGATTCACTTGTGATGAGAACCTGGTGAAGCTTTCTGACTCAGATTGGCAACTCCCATATTATTAAACCTGAACTGCAGAGAAAAGCTCTCAAAGATACCGATTGTATGAATGACTCTAATTTGCAAGAGAGAAAACACGCACAAGATGACCTGGTGTTGTTCCTGACTCCAGTCCCAACCTCCATACTTTGTCTGATGTGGTTTCAGTGTTCTCTGAACAGCTTACAAACTCCCCAGTACAGTAACTGAGTTAAAACAGAGCAATATAAGGATATTTGTCCAGTAGGGCACAACGTACAGTTCCTAAAAAGCAAACAACACATGGAAAATTTGAGAGAATTTTCTTGCATCACTTCTAAGTTGGCTCTGAGTTTCTGAAAACTAGTTCTGAACAGGCAGAATTCAATATGGGTTCTATCTATCTATCTATCTATCTATCTATCTATCTATCTATCTATCTATCTATATTGATTGAATTTGTCACCGCCCATCTCATTGAAACGACTCCAGGCGGTTTACAGCAAAAATAAAATTCGTTAAAATACAATATAAAACAGACCTGATAATAAATAGCTTCCAAGCAAGATGGAAAGTTGGGGAATAATTTTGCATTAACTGTCAGAATCCAAGAGAGAAAAAGAGAAAAAGTTATGAGACAGTAGTATTTGTAGCCATTGATGTCTGTGCATCAAGCTATCCAGATCCTCCCATGAATTTCTCAACTACAGGTTTTTCTCCTTGCTCTGTTTATTTGCAGAGCAAAGGAGAAAACCGTCCTCCCACCTTAACCAAGCAAGGAACACTACCGAAACCACTATTCCCAAAATAAGACACAAGATTCATTTTCCTTATTAGAAACAAATAGGTTGAGTAGTAGCTTGGCACTATACTGTGCTGACACATGAACCCACAATATCCTGGTCTGGCCACATATGAAGGTTATCTGAGTTAAATGCTATCATAATGATTGAAACAAATAGAAACTCAAGCCAGAGTGATGGTTTAGCACAGTGTTTCTCAACCTTGGCAACTTTAAGATGTGTGGACTTCAACTCCCAGAATTTTCCATCCAGCAAATATAGGTACAGGTAGTGAGAAGACATAAGACCTCATCCTGTAGATATTTAGAAGGCAGTTCAGAGCATATTCTCTAAAGACCTAAACTGCTTAGGATCAGATTGCTTGATGCCCCCAAACAGTCTTGCCCATATAGTAAGATCTATCTCTCCAAGGTACTTCTCAAGTATTGGTTAGGGTCTGCAGGAGATCTGATCTAGATGGTGGCACCAAAACTGGAATTCCCTTTCCCTTTTTGTGTAGGCCAACCAGTGGGACCTGAAAACCTCCTTTAGTACTGCCTATGATCTGAAACTGCAATAAGTTGATGAATGCTATCAAAAATGTACCTGATCCAGGAAGCAGTTGCAGTGGCCTCATGCCCTGCAGTAACTTCTTGCAAGGATTCAGAAACTCCAGTTCATTCTACAACTGTAAAAAAAAAAAAGAGGGGGGGTATTCTTCATGCCAAGAGGAATATATCTTGCTGTGCTTGTCCCCTATTCTTTGTTTTCTGGGAAACTTCCACATTTGGAAGTAGACTCCCTGTCACGTCTCCTGCCTTCCAAGCCCATGGATTCAAAATAGCAGGAGGTAAGAATAAGCGAGGCACTGGGTGAGTGTGTTAATCTGATTTGTATCCCAACTGGGTTGTGGTGCAATATGATTAAACCTCTGGAAGCAACTCTTAATGCTCCCCATATATTTGCTAAGTAGCAATATTTGTTCATTTATTTTGGCCTTTCCTCCTTAATGTACTTGGTTTTGTTAAGGCATAACCATATAAAGCAAGTGGAGGAAAATGTATGTATTTGTGTGTGTGTGTGTGTGTGTGTGTGTATATCTATATATATATATATCTGTATCCATATATACAGTACATACCTTAATGGATACAATGGGAATTATTTCTATTTGCGCTCTGCAGTAGCATATATAATACAGAATGTTACTATTTGTGTCCATGGTGCAAAAACAATTCTCACATATCCTGTTAAAAAAAAAACTAGCTGAACACACACTTCTTACATTTTTCAAAATGGCGGGGGGAGGGGGATACTATGCATGGATTTGTAGTTTTTCGATGCATTACTCTGTATCTCCCATCATCCCCAGTCTGCATGGCTGGAAGATTATAGAAACTGCTGTTCAACACAGTGCTCTGTTTGCTGTGTTTCAATTAACAATCATACATATTTGCTGGTTAGTAATTGGATGGGGGACCATCAGGAAATTCTGGGCAATGGCAAATAAACAGCCCATTTTAGCTGCCTACATTTGCTTTTTTGCTCAAAACACTAAAAGAAATCAGGACAACGCTCCATGTAAAACATACCAAAACACAAAAAAATCCCCAAGCAAACAGGAGATCAGATGAAAATTTAAAAGAGAAATGGGTTGCAACCCCATATACACTTCCAAGAGTAAGCTTTCTGGGTCAATGGGATTTATTTTTGAATAGTTACGCATAGGTTTGAGAAGTGAAATGTGTGCTTGATTAAATCAGGTTTGGAGCAGTAAGACAGAAGCTACCTGAAGTACAAAAGCATTTTAAGAAATGGAACTTAGTTGGAATATTGAAATCTGTTCCTAGGGGAAAAAAAGTCTAGATTTTTATGGTGTGGCTTCAGAAGTAATGCATTTACCCTGCTTGCTATCCAACTATTCTCCACTGGCATATCTTTTCTATCCCTCGGCCTATCCATCTGTCTTCTGCCATCACCTCCTTTTTATTACATTTCAGTTCATCCTTCCTTTGGGGAACCAAGACTGTCAGCACATTCCTACACATATTTATTCAGAAGTAAGCACCAATCAATGTATGTTTACTTAGTCACTAATGTACAATGTATGCTTACACCTTTGCATGGGATTGTGCCACTGTTAATGCCGAAAAGACCTTGTGAAATAGTGGCGTTCCCCAGAACTGGGGAGGGGGGCAGTTAAGGACATGTTGACTTACAGGAAGCAAAATGTAGCCAGCCACCTGGAAAAATGTTCATTTCAGAGCTTGCTTCCATAAACAAGTTTAGCAGCTTGCAGGCTCCAGGTTCATCCAGGTGGCCCCTTTAACCCAACAGCCACATCGTTACATGTTTGGCCTGCATATTTATTCTGGAAGTCTCTGATGGAATAAAATAAGCAATGGGAATGGGTTGGGACCCAGAAGAAAACTTTCTTGCTGGCAATGAAACGTCAGTGCAATGAAATTGGTGAATAAATGGGAAGTGTTGCTTTTACAGCCAATTGCTTATTCCCATTTCCTTTGAACAAACAGCCCAGAGCAGAGACAAGATCCTGCAATCCATTCAAACTGGCACAGTATTAAGGACTACTGAGTTTACTGGGAAGCCAGAACAGAAAACAAAAGTGTGCAAATGATTTGTGGTGGTTTTCAAGCTGACAGTTTCAAATATCGTAGGATCCACTGAAAGGCGATGCATTATTTCCCAACCAATGTATGACCATTATGAATTTCTCATAGGGCCTGGGAGAAAACTCAGCGGATGCCCACAGAT